GAACTGAACTAGAACTGAACTAGAACTAGAACTAGAACTGAACTAGAACTGAACTAGAACTGAACTAGAACTGAACTAGAACTGAACTAGAACTAGAACTGAACTAGAACTAGAACTGAACTAGAAATGAACTAGAAATGAACTAGAAATGAACTAGAAATGAACTAGAACTGAACTAGAACTGAACTAGAACTGAACTAGAACTGAACTAGAATTGAACTAGAACTGAACTAGAACTCTGTCAAGCAAACAAACAGACAAATTTTTCCCAACAAAAATTTACCTAGAAAAACAATAGCCAATCAGCAGCAATAACACAAATATTATTACAAACCAATTTTTTACGAACCACATTTTTTTGCATTTTTCTAATAAAAACAACAAAGCAATTAAAAAACACTTAAAAAATACTAATGTTATTTTTAAATTGCATACAAATCGTTTACACTTTAAGAACTACTTGAAAACACTTTGTCAAGCGATCATCCCTAATGTGAGAATAAATGATACAAATTTAGCGGATTATAAAGCAATGATAAGGGCGTTTAGAATGTTTTAATGAGTGGTTGTTGGGTGGATGGATGGTGGTGGTGTTGATGGTGATACCGGTTGTGAATTGTTTACTTTAATCCTTATTAGATCAAGTTTCATTATTAGATCAGAATGTTATTAGTCATTAATGTGTCATAAGATTTTTTTGTATCATTTTTTATAGTTATTTTCATTAAAGTTTCTTTTGCGGTTAAGTGGTCGGATTTAGTTTAATCCACCCTTGTGATATGTATTAGTTAAAGTTATCTCTTCTAAAATTACTTTAATATCATGTGGTTAAGTTATATCCTTATTTTAATTCAATAAAGCTTTATTTTTACAATGTTAATTATGAACTTCTTCTGTTAAAGTTATTTTTAATTTTACCAAGTCTTTAAGCAGAAACCAATACTTCACTCAAGTAATTGGTTTTCTAAAGCCTTGACCATTATTAATGACTTGTGAGAATTTTCAATGTTTAAATATTTTCAAAAAGTATAAATATATGACAATAATACTTACTACGAATAACATATTTGAATAATGGCTAATTTTTATGTTACCGATATTTTCCCATCCTACTCTTTGTTAGCACGTAATTTAAGAGTATACTTTAAGAGAGATTTCTATAAAAAAAGCATTGCCATATATAAATATTAATTTGTTCTCTTTTTCTTGTTTTAATTACAGATCCCAGTAGGAAATTTTCAGTAATATAAGGTAAGTGTATGAAAAAAATTTAATGAAAAATGTATATTTTCAAAAACTAAAAGAGAAACAAGTGTTAAAATATTAAAATAATTATAAATATTACCTGAAAACATCACCTTAAGGTAAGAGTTTTTATTTGTAACGTGTGACGAAATCTTCTGCATTATCAAGTGATCTTATCCAAAGAAAAAAAAACTATCATCGTTTGAAATTGACAATCTGTAATACTATCCAAATGGATTTATGAAAAGCCAAAAATCAGCTACGTTTTCATAGAACGAACGACGAAATTATAAAATACTTTACGAACATTTGTAATCTATTATTGATGACAAACATATGTATGAAGCTTGTAATTTTAAACGAACTATTTCCTAAAGGTAAACATCGGCTGTTAAGAGAAAATTAAAAATGTCTCTCTCTTAAATTCGAAACACTCTTTACATTTCATTATAATTCTCTTCAGTTATTTTTATCTGTGGTTAAATATCTTATCTATTTGCTTGTTTACTAAAATCAAACTGTCTCCATATGACACACGGTTAAACAATAAAAATATAAAAGAAGACAAACATACAGTGATGGTTTAAAATATAGCATGTATATTTGTAAAATACTGGTGATTAATTATATTGTGAAAAATTATAACTTTTATTTTCTACATTGAAATATTTAAAGTTCAGTTCTAGTTCAGTTCTAATTCAGTTCTAATTCAGTTCTAATTCAGTTCTAGTTCAGTTCTACTTCAGTTTTAGTTCAGTTCTAGTTCAGTTTTAGTTCAGTTCTAGTTCAGTTCTAGTTCAGTTCTAGTTCAGTTCTAGTTCAGTTCTAGTTCAGTTCTAGTTCAGTTCTAGTTCAGTTCTAGTTCAGTTCTAGTTCAGTTCTAGTTCAGTTCTAGTTCAGTTCTAGTTCAGTTCTAGTTCAGTTCTAGTTCAGTTCTAGTTCAGTTCTAGTTCAGTTCTAGTTCAGTTCTAGTTCAGTTCTAGTTCAGTTCTAGTTCAGTTCTAGTTCAGTTCTAGTTCAGTTCTAGTTCAGTTCTAGTTCAGTTCTAGTTCAGTTCTAGTTCAGTTCTAATTCAGTTCTAGTTCAGTTCTACTTCAGTTCTAGTTCAGTTTAGTTCAGTTCTAGTTCAGTTCTAGTTCTGTTCTAGTTCTGTTCTAGTTCTGTTCTAGTTCTAGTTCTAGTTCAGTTCTAGTTCAGTTCTAGTTCAGTTCTAGTTCAGTTCTAGTTCTGTTCTAGTTCTGTTCTAGTTCTGTTCTAGTTCTGTTCTAGTTCTGATCTAGTTCTGTTCTAGTTCTGTTCTAGTTCTGATCTAGTTCTGTTCTAGTTCAGTTCTAGTTCTGTTTTAGTTCTGTTCAAGTTCTGTTCAAGTTCTGTTCTAGTTTTGTTCTAGTTCTGTTCTAGTTCTGTTCTAGTTCTGTTCTAGTTCTGTTCTAGTTCTGTTCTAGCTCTGTTCTAGTTCTGTTCTAGCTTTGTTCTAGTTCTGTTCTAGTTCTGTTCTAGTTCTGTTCTAGTTCTGTTCTAGTTCTGTTCTAGTTCTGTTCTAGTTCTGTTCTAGTTCTGTTCTAGTTCTGTTCTAGTTCTGCTCTAGTTCTGTTTTAGTTCTGTTCAAGTTCTGTTCTAGTTTTGTTCTAGTTTTGTTCTAGTTCTGTTCTAGTTATGTTCTAGTTATGTTCTAGTTATGTTCTAGTTCTGTTTTAGTTCTGTTTTAGTTCTGTTCAAGTTCTGTTCTAGTTCTGTTCTAGTTCTGATCTAGTTCTGTTCTAGTTCTGTTCTAGTTCTGTTCTAGATCTGTTCTAGTTCTGTTCTAGTTCTGTTCTAGTTCTGATCTAGTTCTGTTCTAGTTCTGTTCTAGTTCTGATCTAGTTCTGTTCTAGTTCTGTTCTAGTTCTGTTTTAGATCTGTTCAAGTTCTGTTCAAGTTCTGTTCTAGTTCTGTTCTAGTTCTGTTCTAGTTTTGTTCTAGTTTTGTTCTAGTTCTGTTCTAGTTCTGTTCTAGTTCTGTTCTAGTTCAGTTCTAGTTCAGTTCTAGTTCAGTTCTAGTTCAGTTCTAGTTCAGTTCTAGTTCAGTTCTAGTTCAGTTCTAGTTCAGTTCTAGTTCTGTTCTAGTTCTGTTTTAGTTCTGTTCTAGTTCTGTTCTAGTTATGTTCTAGTCCTGTTCTAGTTCTGTTCTAGTTCTGTTCTAGTTCTGTTCTAGTTCTGTTCTAGTTCTGTTCTAGTTCTGTTCTAGTTCTGTTCTAGTTCTGTTCTAGTTCTGTTCTAGTTCTGTTCTAGTTCTGTTCTAGTTCTATTCTAGTTCTGTTCTAGTTCTGTTCTAGTTCTGTTCTAGTTCTGTTCTAGTTCTGTTCTAGTTCTGTTCTAGTTCTGTTCTGTTCTAGTTCTGTTCTAGTTCTGTTCTAGTTCTGTTCTAGTTCTGTTCTAGTTCTGTTCTAGTTCTGTTCTAGTTCTGCTCTATTTCTGTTCTAGTTCTGTTCTAGTTCTGTTCTAGTTCTGTTCTGGTCTGGTTCTGTTCTAGTTCTGTTCTAGTTCTGTTCTAGTTCTGTTCTAGTTCAGTTCGAGTTCAGTTCTAGTTTTGTTCTAGTTATTTTCTAGTTCTGTTCTAGTTCTATTCTAGTTCTGTTCTAGTTATTTTCTAGTTCTCTTCTAGTTCTGTTCCAGTTCTGTTCTAGTTCAGTTTTAGTTCAGTTCTAGTTCTGTTCTAGTTCAGTTCAAGTTCAGTTCAAGTTCAGTTCTAGTTAATATAGATATAGTTCAGTTCTTGTTCAGTTGTAGTTTCAGTTATAATTCTGTTTTAGTTCCAGAATACTGTAAATTTAATAAAAAATAACATTTAGTTTTATGCTTCCCTGTTAAAAATAAATATTAGATCTCTCTTTCAATAGTCTGTCAAATATTTAAGAGAAGTAATAGACAGTAATTTGATGTATTTCCTGATAATTTTGCTAAACTGCATTTAATCTTAAAACAAAATTTTAAAGGTGGTAAACTAATCCAATCTTATGTTTTAAAAGTACCAATATCTAGCTTCTTATTTATAAAATTTTTCTGTATGCATTGTTATATATTTCAAAAAAATAAACAATAGGTAAAGATTCTAGAATCTAGATTTAACTACCTGGCAGCAAGAGAAATTTTAATTTTAAAGAGAGACATTTGAATGATTTGTTGCTTAAAAAGAGTATAAAAATGACTTTATTTTACTAAAAAAAAGAGTTATTTTAAAGACCTTGTTGTAGATTTAAAGAAATTTACAAAACTAGTAGAGTTTTTGTTTTTGTTTTATTAAATTTATTAGAATATTATTAAGATTTGTAAAGTTAAATATAATAAATCTTGACTTTTTAAAAAAAAAACTTCTTTTTTATCTCAACTTAGAATTGCACACGTTTAATGACTTGTCAGATTATTATGTTTTATTATAAAATAAACTATCTAGATGCTTTTTCATATAGTAATTAATGTCATGGTATTAGTCTTTTCTTTTTGCTAAGTATCTATGGGTTGTGATAAGAGTAGTAGTTGTAGGATTTAAGAGTTTTTTATAGAGATTTAAGAGTAAAACTAGGTAGGGCTTTAAAGGTATTAGTAGACAGACGGTGGTGGTATTGGTATCTTAAAACGTGTGTTGTTCTGTATATGTTGTATATTGTATCTATGTATCTGGTATTGTTTTTGTATTGTATTGTTTTCCTTTAAACCCAACAACAGCTGTCTGCTTGGCTTTCAGTTGCTGTTGAGTAAAATTTCATGTAACCGTCCACTTTTGCCAACGACAGTACAGTAGAGTTATTTCAGCCGCTGAAACGTAAAGAACGTGAGCACGTATTAACCGAGAGGGTTTTCAACTCGCTAAAGCTTGACATACCGCCGTGTATTCTTAGGGTCTTTTTTTATCTACAGTTTTATATAGTACAAAAAAAAAATAACAATTTGTACTTATAGATTCAACGATCAATTTAGGTGTTTTGTTGCCGTATTTTCAATTTCCTCAATAGGCGGTTTAGTTTTATAGTTCAATACAAAACGCGTTAACATATCGATTATTTTAAATTTAATTTAAAAACGTTTGTTTTTTTGTTGCTAAAAAGTTTATTAGAATAATGAAAAGTTTTGCAATAGAATGAAATGAAAAAACAATAACAAATAATTGTGTATTATTAAAACTGAATAAATAAAATTGTGGATTACTCACTCATAGAACAAATTTATTAGAATTGCAAGCTCAATTTTAAAATTATTAACAAAATAACAATAACAAATCTCTACAACTATATAAATAATTATTAATTGGATAAAAATAATTAACTCCGACAACCACCACATAAACAACAAAACAAAAAACAGCCAACCAACCTTAATTCTGGATTTAAATGGTAAATTAAAAACAACAATAACAATAACAACTGCATTATTATTGCTAAAACATAATATAAAAATAATATTCTATTTCGTACAAACGAATGTATTTAACAAAACGTAAATGCACAATAAATTTAAAAACCATAAAATGTATAGAAAGACAACATTTTGTACGCGTATTTTATTCGAATTCCATTTTATATGTATTTTATACTCTTACTACTCCCCGATAAATATTTATGTGCTACAAATACTGAAAATAAAGCTAAAGCTAAAAAAAATAAATAAACTAAGCGAGTATTCAAAGTTTGTCTATATACAAAACTCTGTTTTTTTTGTCATCGTCTTCTTCTTCCTCTTACTTGTTTGTATTTATTTTTATTCGAAAAAAAATGTATAAAAAACAAGTTTTGAATTCATTGGAATTTTTAAAATTTTTTCTTGTTTATTAAATTGAAAATTGGTTAGGTGGTAAGAGAGATTTCCTGTTGCAAAGGGGGAAGCTAAAAAATCAGGTTAAATTTAAATAAAAGCTTAGCCCCAATCTAGATTGTTACTATCAAAGATGACGATCTTTAATAGATTAATAGACATGATCTCAAAATCTTCAAATCTTATTCTTAAATATTTCAAATTCTGCTCAGAATTCTGCCATTTTACTCTTAAAATGTTTAGATTCTAATTTTATCGCAGATCTTAAATATTTTGTTTTAAATATATCACATCTTCATTATCATAGATCTAGAATCTTGATCTCTAAATTTAAACATTTAGATCTTAAACGTATCAAATCTGTTCAGAGTTCTTCCCACCTTAATCTGAAAATGTTCCGATTTTAATCTTAAATATTTGAAATCATGATCACAAAACGTTTTCAAATCTTGATCTTAAATATTTCAAATATTCTTCACAAATCTTAATTGTCATGGATCTAGAACCATGATCTCCAAATATACAAATTAAGATCTTAAATAATTCCAAACTTTATCAAAAAGCTTTAAACTTTATCTCAAGAGTTCATATTTTGATCTCTAATACATCTAATCATGATCATAAAAGGTGTTTAGATCTTGATCTTAAATTTTGTTCAGAACTTTTCAATTATGATCTTGAATATTAAAATTTTGATTCCAGAACCTTGATCTCAAAATTTTAAGCTCATGATCCTTGATTAAATCTTGATTATCGATCTGGATTCTTGAAAAAAAAGTTTCTGAAAAAATAAACTTGATCTTAAATATTTTAAACTTTAATCTCAGAATCTTGAGCTTAAAATTTTCAGATCATGATCATTAATATTTTAAATTTTAATCATCGCCCTGGATCCTTGAAAACGTAGTTTTAAAAGAATGAAAGATCTTAATTATTTTAAAATTTTGATCAACATCCTTGAAGAAATAGTTTCTGAAGAAGAAGTTTATTTGAATGCCTCGATATTAAAACTAATTTTTTAAACAAAAGCTTATTTTACAACTTCGATTTTGAACCAAATTTCGATATAAACCCTAGGTAAAATGATCGTCCAAACTTTAGCCTTTAAAGTGGCATTGGCGGAGAGAGAGAGAGAGTTTGACAGAGAGAGAGAGAGAAGTTTCAGCAGATAACATTCACTTTAAAATTCGATTTCAAACTCTAAAGCTGGTATCGGCAGAGAACTCTCTTATGAGCTTTTTTACTTTTCAACTTAAGAGTCTAAAGCAAAAGACATAGTTAGAGAGTGACTAGACTTGTTTCAGCTTACGTGAAAGCAAAGAGAGCGTTTTCCCTAATATTGGTATAAAGTTCATGTTATGCTTTTATCAGAAAAGAGAGAGTGAATGAAAGGGAGAGAGGAAGCCCACTATTCTTTTATGGAGAAAACTTTCAAACTTGATTTTGCTTTAAAATACGGACATTTAAACTTCAGACTCTAAAACTGGTAACGGCAGAGAGCTTTTCCTACTCTCAACTTAAGAGTCTAAAGCAGACATCGTCAGAGAGTGACTAGATCTGTTTCAGCTTACGTGAAAGTAAAGACAGCTTTTTTCTGTTGATCTAAAGTTCGTGTTATGCTTTTATCGGAGAGAGAGAGAGTGAAAGGAAAAGGGAAATAGTAAGACATCACCACTATTCATTCCATGGAGAAAACTTTCAAACTTGATTTTGCCCCAAATTACGGACATTTATTTAAACTTCGGACTCTAAAACTGGTAACGGCAGAGAGTTTTTCCTACTATCAACTTAAGAGTCTAAAGCAGACATCGTCAGAGGGTAACTAGATCTGTTTCAGCTTACGTAAAAGCAAAGAGAGCTTTTTTCTGTTGGTCTAAAGTTCGCTTTTATTAGAGAGAGAGAGAGAGAGAGAGAGAGAGTGAAAGGAAGAGATGAAGATATCACCACTATTCATTCTATTAAGAAAACTTTGAAGTCTCTGAGAAAGAGGAAGTTCTCAAGCCACGATATTGGACTAAATTTTGTTGTAAACATTGATAAATATAATCAACAGAAGTCTTATTATTCATTGCCCAATTAGATAGAGAGGGAGAAAGATGGTTGCGAGCTTTACTCTATAGTGTTAGTTCTTCTATAGTTTTCGATGAAAAGTTTATTTCTCAACCTTGATGTTTGCATGAAATTTGGATTAAAATCTCGATCTTCTAAATCAGCTTAATATTGTTCCAAGTAGAGAGAGAAAAATAACAATGATCTTCTTCCAACTCTGACTTCTACTTCTTAAATATAGAGAGCTTTTTCCACATTATTATGAAGAAGTTTACGTTTCCGAAGATAAATTTCTATCATAGATGCGATATTAAAACTAGTATTTGTGAAAGAGTGACATAATAAAGCTTTCCAAACATTCAGTGAAAACCTAAAGCTTTGCGCTTTTAATTTTAAGCTTTTGTCACAGAGATATTTTAGCAGTGATTTCTCACAAGAACTTTGTAAAAGAGTTTGTCATAGCTACGAAATTACTATTACCCCCACCCACAGTTTCTTTTTTGTCATAACTCCGACTTGGTCTTAAATAAAAAAACTGCATTAATACTGGCTGCTGGTGTGGTTGCTGCAGCAGCGGCTTAAATACATTTTTCTCTTTCTTTAGCTACAAAAAGCAGTTAAAGCTCTTTTTTTCTTTATTTATTTATTTATTTATTTACTTGTTATTTGTTATTTCAGTTACCATTTCTGTTTTGTTTAAAAGGAAAATGAAAGCAAGCTTTTTTCATTTTAATTTTTTTTAACTCCTCAAAATTCCAAAAAGAAAACTTAATAATTTAAATGATTTTAGGTCAGACACTCAAACACATTTTGAAGCTTTGAGTCATCGTTTTTGAACACATTAAAAAAAACTGTTAACAATTTTTTTATACATATTTGAAAAAACAGGTATTGAGTTTAATTATATAGAAATAGAATTCGAAATTCCTATAGAATTTTAACTTTTAATACTCTTTATTTAGATTTTTTTTTATTTAATTCTTTGTTGGTTAATTTAGCTTATGTGTTTTTTGTTGTATAACAATTAATTACAACAGGTAACAAAAACTACAAAAATAACAAATATTTTTAAAAAACAAATACAATTTGCAAAAAAAAGAGTACAAAATAAAATTACAAATAAAACAACAATAAAAATAAGTATTGAAACCTTGCAATTTCAAGTCAAAGTTCTCATTAACACAGATGGCTTTAATGTAAACACACACATATATATTTTACACTCTTACCCATACCAATAAAACATGTCATGTTTTATTGTTAGTTATATTGACTAACTAACTAACTCATTGAATTTCTGTCTGTCCGTTCATTTGTCTGCCTGTTTCTCTTTATTATATTTGTATCTGTTAAATACACCAAATGCATAATTACAAATTTTTATTGCTGACGTATCTTTTAAGCTGTATTTAATCTAGGGTTTTTTTCTTGTTCATTCTCTTTTTATGTGGGTATTAGTCATTAGTTTTAAACTAATATTTACCTGTGATTTTTCTAAGAGTTAAACACGTAAATAATTTTCAACTCTTTATTGAAATTTGACATAAATTTGTTTTTATTTTTTGAGAATTTATTAAGTGATTTTATTAGATAATAATTTTGAAAACTTTATTTTCAAAAGAAACCTTAGTGTTTGTTTACAATATAATGGTCACCTTTTCTTTTGAAATTTAAATGCAGTTTTTTTTTTTTTAAACACAAAGAACTGAAATAACAGAAGATTCGGCCAAAGAAGAAGATGAAAATAAAATATTTATTGTATTTCAAATCTATTGTATAAGTATCCAGAACTAACAAATACAGCTGCATGCTGTTGCATGAAACCCGTACTAAAGTCATGTAAGACAAACTCTGTATGAGTCAGAGATGGAGGAATTAGTAGAATAGTACTTTAAGTTAGAGCTAAGTTTTATTTCCGCTCTAGTTTAGTTCTGTTCTAGTTCTAGTTGTGTTCTAGTTTTGTTCCAGTTCTGTTCTAGCTCTGTACTAGTTCTGTTCTAGTTCTGTTCTAGTTCTGTTCTAGTTCTGTTCTAGTTCTGTTCTAGTTCTGTTTTCTAGTTCTGTTCTAGTTCTGTTCTAGTTCTGTTCTAGTTCTGTTCTAGTTCTGTTCTAGTTCTGTTCTAGTTCTGTTCTAGTTCTGTTCTAGTTCTGTTCTAGTTCTGTTCTAAGTTCTGTTCTAGTTCTGTTCTAGTTCTGTTCTAGTTCCTGTTCTAGTTCTGTTCTAGTTCTGTTCTAGTTCTGTTCTAGTTTCTGTTCTAGTTTCTGTTCTAGTTCTGTTCTAGTTCTGTTCTAGTTCTGTTCTAGTTCTGTTCTAGTTCTGTTCTAGTTCTGTTCTAGTTCTGTTCTGTTCTGTTCTAGTTCTGTTTCTAGTTCTGTTCGAGTTCTGTTCTAGTTCTGTTCTAGTTCTGTTCTAGTTCTGTTCTAGTTCTGTTCTAGTTCTGTTCTAGTTCTATTCTAGTTCTAGTTCTAGTTCTTTTCTAGTTCTATTCTAGTTCTGTTCTAGTTCTGTTCTAGTTCTGTTCTAGTTCCTTTC